TAATTGATACAGATGTCTTGCATATTGAGCATAATGTAAAATAAAGTGTAAAATAACATTTTGCTTTATTGACTTAGCATTTTTTTCTGTGCCATAATTTTGCCTAGAGACAAAGATTTGAACTAATTGTTCTTTCCAGAATTCTATTTCCATGGGGTGAATAGAATATATACCAAGTTTCATTGACATATGTCCATTAGAACTGGTCTCAGAAGGCTCTGAGTAAGATCATTTCATTGACATTGGTGGTTATAATAACCACCTGTTCATTTTAATACCACTCTGTATTTTAATTCAAATTTAAAACTCAAATATTATTATAGTAGAGCATCGATTATCTGACTCAATTGGGGACTCAGGTTGGTCGGATAACCGAAAAGAAGGAAAAAATACATTATTAGTATAGTATATTAGGATATTAGTATACTAGCAGACCCTGCCATGTGTCGTTGTGGCTCAAAATGTATCTATTATAAATGTATAACACTTCCTCCGTGGGGGGTAATTTTTCGAAAAATTTCTTCTTAGTGTACATTCTTTTGACGTACCCTATTAAAACGCAATCAAAAACGCAAAAACTCGCATCTAAAATAATATAATAGAAGCCAAGTTCTTTACGGTAAGCCTTAATTCTGTCCCTCTCCCCTGCGGGGGAATATCAAAAAATCCCTTCTTAGTGTACATTCTGTTGACATACCCTATTAAAACGCAATCAAAAATGCAAAAAACTGCTTCTAAAATAGTATAAATAGAAGCAGAGTTTTTTANAACAATCAACAGCATGTGAAGTGGTTGAGTCAGAGATTGATGCCTCATTTACAAACAACATACCCGTTTATTAGACAATTAACTTACATTAAAAGTACTATTATCACGAAGGGTTGAAATCTTTATAAGATTTTGGTGCATAGTTTTCAAAAGAAGAGGAAAGTCCAGTGACGAGGATGATTTCCTATCGCTGACTGGATGTTGCATTCTAAGTTCAGTTCTCGAACAGGAAACAATGTCCAGTGAATGCAGATCAGAATTTCCAAAGTTTCTCTTAACAAAAGTCTATAACTTTTGGAGAATACATCGGCAAAAGACAAAGATGGAACCTTGCGGGAAACACTCCAGTGAAGGACATAGCCTTGTGGGATGCCACGGCAAAGAACAGTATTCTTGTGGCATAGGCTTAAATATCTTGTGGTCTCACAAATCATTACTTTATTGGTTATTAATCTCGTTTCTTGGTCCCAGATTGGTCTTTTTCAAGTGAAATTGGACCAAATCAGTTTCTGAGAAAGATGATTGTTTATTAATACATTTCAACACTGTCTTTGGTTTGGTGTTGAACGAACTTTGTACTTTAACTAACATTTTGTTTTTTGTTCATCTTGTCTTCTAAAGAATTTAATTTACAAATTTTTCTCCTATTTTTACCACATGGTTTTAATATTAAAATAATTTTATTTTCTTCCTTTACCTTTATAATTTAGTTCTCTTAATTTTAATTAATTGCAAAGATCAAGATTTGTTTTTGTTTGGTTATATATAGACAGCGGACATCTAAGCCCTTAAAAGTGGCATTTTAGGCGCTTAAAATAAGCTCTTAAATTGCATCATTTAGGCTTTATAAACAAAAAATAGGTGGTCAAAATTTGCACAATGAACAATTAACCTACTTATCAGGACGATGAATTTTTTATTTAACATATGTATTCCAAACAAAAATGCACGTATTCAGAATGATGCAAACACAAAAGTAGACAAACAATTATCTTTACATTTTTTATTCGCTCTGTTTCCCATAGTTAGCTTCATAATATATTACAAACACTTTTTCCAAATTTTTAATAGAAAAGTTGCAACGTTTGTCACTGAGAATTAATTTATATGCAGAGAAAAAGCATTCCACATCTGAAGATAATGGACAGTATTTCAACCTTGGAAGAAGAGGAACTGGGAATTCACTTTCAGTTTTGCTCTTCTTTCCTGCCAAAATATCAGCCACAACAAACAAGCACTTTAATCTAAGTCTCTTTTGAAGCACTTGTTTTTCATTTTTTTTGCAGCAGTGCCTAGTGCATCACAAAGTTTCTGGTTTGCCTGTTGAGGAGATCAATTTGTTCATATATAGGTTTCCCACTACTTTCAAGAGCAGTAATAGTATCTGCAATGAATGTGAAATAACACTTGATGTACACTAACTTGTTCTGAACATAAATGTCATTCAAAATTTTCTTGGCTTTAATTACACAAACTGCGTTGTCTGCTAAAGTGGCCAGAAGTTTTTTGATATCGAAGAAATGTTCACTGTAATAGTACAAAATTTTAGCCATGTATATGCTAAGGGAAAAATAGGCATTTGTCTAAAATCCACTGTCTAAAAATGACAAATAAAGCATCTCTAACGCTATATTTATTAAATAAAAGCATATATTTTAAAATATTTCATATAGTTTTAATTTTATTACTATAAAATTGCATCAGAGGGTGTAATTTATTTCCATTATTATTGAATTCTAATTTTTTCTGCTTGGGATATGCATTCACTGGGACTTAAATATAAGTAATCAATAATAATAAAAAAATGAATTTGTCTGATTGCATTTTCAGAAAAAAAATGGAACTTAAGCAGTTTAATTTAAGAATTAAAGTAAACCTTTGCGGAAAATGAAACGAAAAATTAATAAAAACTTTTTAAAAATATGAAAACAGACTAAACTTTGTGTTTTAGGCAAAAATAGGCAGCAACGTCAAAATAAGCATTTTTAGGCATTATAAAATACCATTGTTTCGGTCTAAATGTTCATGAAAAGTGTTCATACAAAATCTTAGCCATGTATATGCAAAGGGAAAAAATAGGCATTTGCGTAAAATTCGCTGTCTAGTTATATGGTTAAAAGAATGTTTTTTATCCTAGCCCAGGGCCTCACAGTGGTAGTGGTTGATTTTAGTGGCATTCTAAATTTTGTTCATTTTTTTTGTCTTCATTTGTTGTCTTAATAATTTCAATAATTGAAATTATAATAATAATACAAAACAAATACTTTCACACACATATGTATAAAAACAGATTACCAAAAGAAACTTTTATAAATTTGTTGAAATTCAATGGACACATATATTAATTATTAAGAAAGTGAAAAATTATGTGTACATGTGCTTAATTTTAATTTTATTAATAATAGTAATTGTTATTAAATTAATCTTGTTTATTAATATACATTTTTGATTTATTAATACCATAAATTATTTTATCAATATATGCAAAATTAATTATCAAATTATACTTTAATTTTTAAATAAAATATTAACATATTGTTTGGTTATTAGTACTGAATAATTATAGATTATAATTATAATTTTAAGAATTGTATTTTGTTAGTTTAGATAATGATTATAATTATTTGACTGTTAAGTGATTATTGCTGTTTGGTTAGTATTATGGATAAAATAAAGACTAGGAGGTGTGAGTCTATCCTGTTCTAAATTATTATTTTTAAATTGTTCTAAATAAGTTAAATTTAATTAATTATTTAATAATTAATGTTAAAAGCAGATTAATCTATAAATAAAATAAATTTATTGAATTATAAATAAATTAGTTATATTAATTAATAAAAGTACATTATAACCTTATAGTTTAAGAAGTTAAATACAAATTAATAATTGCATAATAATTTTAAAAATTGCTAGAGTATAGTTGAAATAAGCAGATTTCGTACATAAAAATCATATTTTACAATCATTTTATTTCAGAATAAAGCAGAGTTAAACAAAAAATCTAGGTTGTTTGTATTGTTTTAATGTAATATATCTTATGATTTTGATTATTATAAACATGTTAAAAACTTCATAGCAATATAGTAATGCAGTTGACAATTGACATTTATCATAGATAAGAAAAGTAACATGCTTTAGTTTGATTATACATAAAACATCATGTATATATATCAAATTATTTCAAATATTATTGCTTGATTAAGATGAACATTATCATCTAAAATTGATTAAATGGATTAAAAATTGCCACTATGAAGAATATTAAGATAAAACATTAGTATCCACTAGAATGGCTTATGTTTTCTTAGTGTATCTTTATATACAGAATTGGTGTTTCTCAATTAATTTAAAAATGACTTCTGTTTGATAATCATTAATATTTATTCAGTGTAAAAACTATGTCATCAATAAATAGATGTGGGGATAATTGATAGATTTGGTATGAATGTTTATTTGTGTTTCTTTTATTGTTTTGAAATGGTGAATTATGACACTCTTGCTGTTGTTGTAAAATAACAATATGGATTAATGACCTTTCAATTAACATGTTTTGTTAATATATTTGAATATTGTTATACTGTTTAATGACAATATAGTCGTTATTTTAGTAATGACACATTCATGAATCCAACCCTAATGGACTTACTTGTAAATACTAATAATACAAGTAGATTCGTGATTCACAGATATATGAAACTTTTATATTATAATATATTGGATACTGATTTTTATGCAAATTTAATGTCTTCATTATCACTTGAAAGCTACAATTGCATTGAGATGATTTGGTTTGGTAATGTTAAGAGTTTTGTAAATTCCACTTCAAACTTTGGTAGATACAAACACATTCAAAAAATCCTTTCATAAAATAAAGTTTTTGTTTCTGAAAAGAATATTTATTTATATATTTTCAAATATAACATGATACAGAAATGACAGATATTTTTATTGTTAAGAAGTTAATCTTTAAAATGACTGGTAATTTTTGAGTGTTTGTATATATAATTCTTTAATATATTAATAGAATAATGTTGCTTTGTACATTTATAATTTGTGTAATTAGTATCACTTATGTAAGTTATTTGAAAATATACTGAATATATAATTTTAAAATAAAGAACAATAAAAAATGTCCACAACTGATGAAAATTTTATGTTATATTTAAATGAATACATAATGTTTTTTGTTAAGTATGTAAATACTTAATATATTTCTCTTTCAATTATTTCAGCTTGTAGTAAATAATTTAGAATATTATAAAGAAATGATCAAAAGAGAAGAACCATTATTTGAAATAGAAGCATTTTTAGTTGGTACAGAGTTAGTATTACAACCAACAATGGATCAAATACATAAAATGATGACAAACTGTTGCCAAGATATAATTGAAGGGTATGTAAACTACTGTATATATTAGAATAAAAGTGAAATATTTATAACTATTTTCCAGAAGTTTTAAAATATTTTTATATTATAAATTATTGTGAACAACAATTGTATTGTAATGTCCTACCAATCTTTTTTAATATTTATTTATTTTCTTCTGCTTCTTTAGTGATATAATATTATTGGTCTTGACGTCAGCTTGAATGAGCTTATTGACATGTTTATTTTTGTGATGTCTTATTAGTCTTTAGATAAGCATTTTTTCCATGAACATAAGACCAGAATTAAAGGAGATCTGATCTAAATCCATACATAATCAAAATCCTCACAAGTCAAAAATCCATCAGAATCTCATTAAATGATAATTTGACATGTATAATATCAATGATGCAAACAAATGTCTATTTGTGTGATGAGCCAGTATCAAAGCACTGTCAAAAAACTTTTGTTAATTAATGTTATCTTATTTGATTTTCTATTGAAATAAAATAATTTTGAATTATAAATTTTTTTAAAATTTCATAATTGCCACAAATTTGATATTGTCTTGGATATTTTTTGTTCCATTTTATTTATAGCTGTAACAAGTCAGTAATGAAACTTGTCAATTTTTACTGGGTCATAGCATGGACGTAATTTATTTTCTTAAATATAAATGAATTGAAACTCAAAATGTATTATAAACATAATGGCTAATCAGTTAACTTTTAAAATTTTACAGATTGTTCTAAGAAAAATTTAAATTTAAATGTGGTTGATGTAGAAATGCATATTTTACAAATAAAAAAGGCAATTGCGTAGGTATTATCTACTAATATAACATTCTAAGTATTATATGATGTTATATTCTATACATTAGAACATCACATTACTCTAAGTACTACAGTTGACTCACCTTAAACAAACACTGATAAATTTATTTATTTTTTTGAATATACAAAAGGAAATGTCACAAAACATTTCCGTTGATATCACCCCCAAAAATACTGCTTTTTTCCTTATGACAATTTTCCCCATTCTTGTTCTTTCCACCATCTAAAACTTTCTAATCTTTTTAACTCTTCTTTCTTGAGGGCAATTTCCTAGAATTCACCAACATAATACGAGGTTACCCGAGGGTATATGAGGTGAAGGAAAGTCACTTTTGAATTAGTGCTTGTAAAGAGAAGATGATGAAAGGAGAGTCTTACAGTGTCTGGTACCTGAGTAGATGGGTGAAGTCAGAACTTTAAACTTGTGCTTGAAAAGATTATATTATAAAGTAACTGTTTAAAAATGTGTTTAAAATGTAGAAAATCTTTGTGTAGAGATTATTTGATGAAGTCCATATTCTGAACAAACTGATAGAAAAATGATCTGAAAGAAATAGAAACCCTAAAAGATGGGGTAAAAAAACAAGTTTGGTTACGAGTAACTTGTGGTGGAATTCTTTAGCACAGCCAATCAGAATGAATGAAACCATGGAAGTATTTGTATAAAAGTAAATGATCAAAATATTTGATACATTCTGTAAAATTGGGAATTCTCAATCCAATCTAGCAACATTAACATTAGGGGTAAAAGGAAGGTTAGAGAGTTTATTTAAAATAAGAAATATTTTATCTAATTCTTTTAATAGTTTTTGTAAATGGGAAGAGGCAGCCAAAGCCCATATTGGCTGACAATAATTGAGTAAAGATTGAATATTGGTAAAATAAATGGATTATGTGGCGGCCGCATAATTGTAACCAGCGCTACATCTGAAAATCCAGGTGGCGCTGGCGCGACGCATATATAACCATGTGCAGGCCGTCCGCCATATTTCCTTCCCGACCTGTCAGCTACTATCATGTACACGTGGATTCCAATCAACCGACCGTTAGGTAGACGAGACTTTTGTATATAGTGTAAATAAAGTAAATAGGAGATATATGACTACGGTCTCTATTCATATATTCAGCGAACACGATCAAGTGGTGTAACGACCACCACAGATTATAAGACTGTTTTTGAGGACAAGAAGTAGCAAATATGGTGAATAGAATAAGAAAAAGTGTCTGGGTAGTGCAAACATCACTCAGTTACCATGAGGGTCTTCTTAAACACAAAATTCTCACTTCTGACTTTCTTTTCTTTGATTTGTGAGGGTTTTCCTATGTTTGATTTCAATAGTCAGTCACATATTCAAACTCGTCAAACTGAAATGCCAACATACTAACTTCAGCCTGGAGTTCAAAGTTCCCACTCATCAAAAATCAGAAAAAGTTCTGACTTCACCCATCTACTCAGGCACCAGACACTGTAACACTCTCCTTTCATCATCTTCTCTCTTCAAGCATTAATTCAAAAGTGACTTTCCTTTACCTCATATACCCTCAGGTAACCTTGTATTATGTTGGTGAATTCTAGGAAATTGCCCTCAAGAAAGAAGAGTTAAAAAGATTAGAAAATTCTAGATGGTGAAAAGAACAAAGAACAGGGAAAATTGTCAGAAGGACAAAACCGGACAATATGGCATGCAGCCATAACATCAATACCTAATTCTATATAACAAATAGTTATTGTAAAGCAAACTATTAAATCAACCAATAAACATTTGTTGAGTTAAAATTTTTATGCTCTTTTCACATAAATTATACAAAACTGTCAATAGAAAGTCCCTGAGATCTTCAAAAATTTATTAATAAAAATTTCATTTCAGATTATTCATTGGAACAAGAATATACAGTATATAAACAATAATATCTGGTTTCAATTTTGTCAGAATTTTGATTGTGTGGGAAGTTTTACGTATTAGGATCTTGATTGTGTTGTGATTTTCACAGTATTGAGATTTTAACCTGTCAGGGGTTTGATTGTTGAGATTTTGAACCAGACCTGAATTAAAAGATATCCTTTCCAGATGTTTCAATTTTCTTTCAAAAGATATCCTTTCCAGATGTTTCTTTTGAAATTGAATCATTTGACCCAAGCAAAAAATAGGACTTTTGTGAGATGTGAAAAATTCATTTTTGGTTTGGGTTGTGAAAAATAACAAAACATTTGTTAACAAGAAACAAAAGTCTAATCTACAAAAAACAAGGTACACCAAATTCCACAGTACCCCAATATACCAGTCCCAAAACTCCACGTGACAATACTCGGCCCAACATATGTGCTAGACCACTGATACACAAACATAAAGAAAGCTAATGCAAACATAATTTTAATGCATAAAATTTTACATTGGGTATTAATACTTTCTTAAAAACTAGTCTATGTACTATTGTACTATGATTAAATCTAACAAAAACAAAAAAATAAACTTCCATAGAGGGCGATATACAAGGTCTGTTCAAAAAGTATCGGACCTTTGGTCGGCAAAAATAAATCTATTGACTTTGAGGTATAAAACCCTAATCCCCTTCAAAGTGGTCTCCTTGGTAATGTATACACTTCTCCCAACGTTCCTGCCATTGCTGGAAACACTGCTGGAACGCATCTTTTGGAATGGTTATAAGCCGGTCCGTCGCATTTCGCATGATGTCTTCTCTTGACTAAATTTGGGTTCCTTTTAGCGGCATTTTCAGCTTGAGAAATAGCCAAAGGTCACACGGAGTCATGTGGAGAGAGTACAGAGCGTGACGAACCACAGGGGTATTGTGTTTGGCGACGAAAGCCCGAATCAGATGCGCAGAATGGGCGGATGCGTTATCACGATGGAGCTGCCAAGTTTTGATCGACCACAGATCCGGTCGTTTGCGTCGCACTGTATCGGAAAGACGACGAAGGACCTCCTGGTAGTACTCCTTTGCGATGGTTTGGCTTTGTGGTGCGTACTCACGACACACCACCCCACGAGAGTCGAAAAACTGTCAACATGACCTTTGATATTGCTGCGGACCTGCCGCGCTTTTTTTGGCCTCGAGGATCGTCCCCGAAAGCCTGCTGAATCTTGCGAATGGTTTACACTCGGGTATCGCCAAGGTTTTTGGCAAAATTTGATGTAATATCGCTGCTCACGTTGTTCAGTCATTTTCCAGCTTAGTGAAATCCGATGAGAGCGCACTACATGACCTCACTCATAGGCCGATTGCCAACGACTGACGCTTCCTGCAGGTGGGAAAAAATTCAGGGCTGTGCATGACTGTCCTCTCCACAACTCCATCGAAGGAGGCCTCTCTCGCATCATTGGCTTACGCGGAAAAAAAAAGGTTCGATACTTTTTGAACAGACCTTGTATTCCAGGTTCACATGAAAGTCAGTTACTCTTGTCCAGTTTTTTTGCACTTGGATCTCAAAATCCACTTTTTGCTGAATCTCAGACTGTCAGCTCTGGCTTCGAAGGTCTACTTAACAACTCCTTCCTTCAGCTTCACTGTCCCTGTCTGAAGTGTCTGTCTCTCCAGCCAAAAATCTCATTCTTCCCTTCTTCATATTCCCAGGCTGATTCTCCTATCTGTTAGACCAGTCCTTCTGAGGCAGAAGTCTACTTTAGAGTTGGTCCAACAAAGGAACTAGTCTGACCAAATTTACACAATAAACTGGGAAACAAAAGATTCTAACAAGAAAAGAGGAAAAAAAAATATGTCAGACTTCCACACTTTAAATCTGGAGAGAAATGAATGACAGAATATATGAAATGTTGGGACTTTTTGTCTTGGGTTTTTTATCGTAATATTAGATCTTGGATATTTCTTATTGATGCTTTGTTTTTATTTTTCTGTGAGTTCTTCTTTTGCTACTCTCCTTCTTTGACTTAGATTTTTTTCCTCTTTCTACTTCTTTCTTTTTCTTTTTAGCATAGAAACTCTTGTGCTTCTGCCTCTACAGTCTTCTTTTCTTTTCAATTTTCCTTTCCACACTGACCTGCACTTTCTAATTCTTTGTTTTCTGTACCTTTTATAAGAACATTGTTCATACTTTCTAGGAAATACTGTAGCATTTCTCAACGTATCACTCAGGCCAGCATCTAATGTTTGGTTGAAAACACTAGTTTTTTCCAATTGAGGAGGATCTTTCAATACAGACTCATTATGATCCAGCTTTTATTTTTGTAATTTGGAGAATTGCTCTTGATGCTTCTTGATGTGTAGAAAGCAAGAAACAAACTAATGGAATTTTGACATATTCAAATAATAATTCAAAATAATTCTATTCTATTGAGTAGACTCAATAGAATGGAATTGCAGGATACTGTATATTTTGATATAGGAGATAAAATAATTTATAAAAAAAAACAAATATTTAAATAAGTAATAAAATTTAATGCAATAATGCCATATTTATATATTTAGTTCAACTGTGTTTTAATAATAATTTAATTATTTTTTTTCAGAACAAAATGCTTCTTTAGATGGTTCCATAATTCTTGCATTGAATCAGAGCCAATAAAAGTTAAAGATCAAGTTGAACTCTACTGTTATACCTTTTTCGATGATGTTTCTCTACATCCATTAGTTAGATCCACATACTTAGCAGTTGTAAGGGAATGCCAGTCAACTGTAATATCTTTATATAATTCTCTACATTCATGGACCAAATACAGTAATTTATGGCTTTCTAATGTAAACAATGCTTGCATTAATTTTTGTTTTAAAAAGCCTAATTTTAAAGATTATGATGAACGATTTCAATTTTACTCTTTACTCAAGAAAGAGGTAAATACTTCAGATTGAATAAAATTTAATTTAACAATTAAGATAAATGATAATTCTATATCTAAGTATATCTATGAATTATAAAATAATTTATTTTTAATTCTTTTACCTATAAATAAAGTTTTTTTTAGTATGTATTTTTTAAATAAATTTCTTAAGTAATTTATACTATTGATGAAGATGATATATTCATCAATTATATACTCTACTAATTTTCTTTATAACCACTATGCAGTGTATTTAAAAATGTGACTGTGCAACATCCTTTATTAGACAATTTATTACATTTGCCAAAATGCATTTTGATCACAGCTCCTCTTCACTTGGCACTTGAAGTTTATCTTTGACAGGATGTTTCCAGTTTCTTGTTATGTGTTCTTAAATAAACTGCATAGTATTTATAAAGGAAATAGATAATACAAAACATGACTCCAAAATAATCAAAAATAACTCTATTGATGATATATTTTTACATAAATACTAGTAGATTGATAAAGACTAATTCATTGATAATTTTTTAATGTATTTATTAGATTCTGTTTTTCACTAAGAAATTTTATTTTGAATCAAATCAATATTTAGGTTAATGGAATCAAAACAAACCAACTTTTGTTTAAACCGTTAGAATTTTTAGCTTGATTTTTTTATTTCATATTTATTTTTTATAATTATTTTTCCAATATACCAGTGATCACAAGTACAGTCGACCCCCCCCTATAACATGGGTTCCTATAGTTCAGATTCCTATATCACGGCAAAGAAATTGCAACAGTAATTTCGACTGTACATCATGTTATTTTATATATACAAATGTTTGCATATTTTTAAATTTAATTTATCTGCTTTTTGCAGTGAGAATTTTGAACCATGTTGACATAAAATAATAATTTTTTTTAACTTATAAAGTTTTTAATTTAGAATGAGCAATTATTTATTGTGACATTGTCACAATGCTGGGCTGCAATTTTTAATTCTCTTTTAATTTAAAAAAATCACATGACTTGTAGTCTGGACCACAAGTTTGTATATAGTTAATTGGGGTCTCTGACCACCATGTTGCCATTTGATGTTTTGACAATATACTAGGTTATTCAAAATAATTCATCTGATTTCAAATGACTACATTTTAAATTCTTACAAATGCAGTGATTAGGGATACAACAATAATCAAAGATAAATTGTCCAAGTTTTGCCTCTCACTTTATAGGTGTTCTGTTTGATTTTGCAATGTTACACAAGTAGAATTGAGATGATAGTAAAAATTCCTCCCATACTCATGGCAGTTCTCCATTGTCACCAACTTCACAGCATTAAAAATGCATTTTTTGGGTCATCTAGGATTCTTAACTTTATTCTAATCCCAAAATTATAATTATAACAATAATAATAATAATAATATATGTGTGATATGCCCATTATATAAAAAATTATTATTGTTATAATTATAATTTTGGGATTCAAATAAAAATATGTTATATATTTATATTTGTATCACTCTCCATTCTGGATCTGTATGATAACTTTTCACTAAGGTGCATAACTATAAGAATATTAAG